CGAAGAAAAAAGGAAACTGCAATTTTACCCGGAATTGCTCCATGCAACCGCATAGAGCAACTCTATGCGGTCGCATAGAGTAAAAATATTTGGCCATTTAAGCTTCGGTATGCCTCTATGCAACCGCATAGAGGGTAGCCGCATAGTGCTACCAACTATGAGAAATATTCATTTTGGTCCTCCTACTTGAATAATTCACTTCTTGGCATCTTTTCTTCATTCTTTTCATTCAATCATCCTGAGGTATCGTCAATTGGCAATTGTTTTAATCAATTTCTCGATTTGTTCATCGGGTCAACTTTTGGATAATTGCACCTTGGTCCCTGAACTTTCACTTTACGCCATTTTAGTCCTTTTCACGTCTTTTCTCCTGAATTTCACCATGTTCATCGTTGTTCCCTACAATTCACAAATGTAACGAGATTAAGTCATAATTCAATCATTTTGCTCGTTATTAAGTCATATTTGTGACCTAAATAAGCGTGCAAAAATACTTATCAAACCCCCCAAATTTGAACTATTGTTTGTCCTCAAACAAGATAGTGACTTAATTCTGAACAAGCATGGCTTAATATCCTATTGTGGCTCAGGATTGGACTGAGTATTTAAAAATTTATCTGTGCAAACATGACATTAACATTTACCTGTTAAATGCAAATTGACGTGTGTGTGTAAATTCATGCCAACATATCAGGTTCATGATGAAATTGAGTCCCGACCCCAAGTGGTCAAATATATCCTTACTCGCTCGAGAGATACACAACCCCCCAAACTTATTCTTTTCACTCAATTATCTCGGGGTTGTGTTTTAAGATTAGGAATTTATATAACTGTAGTCCTCACCCTCTCGTAGTTTGGATTTAGCATTACTATCACAAGTCTACATTTCAAAAAGTGAAGGCTCTCCTAGATTTGATTGCTTTGACACTCAAGATTAAACTAAATTACTTGTCTCGCCTCAGAGGTATAGTCTCTTCAACCAAATGTTTAAGGGCTTTTCGTCATGTTTTGCCTCTCTTTTGTTTTTCTCACCTTTCTTTAAGTTTTGATTGATTTTCATCTTCTCATTTGCTTTCTATATAACCCATGTAACGAGTTTTAGGTCGGTGATTCCCAAACCAGTTGGCTTTAGGGCACCAGGTTTTAAACCCTTGCAGACTTATTCACTCGAGTTATAAAGGCTCGATAAGATGACTTTTTATTAACTTCTTTCCCTCTTGCTTTCTATATGACCCATGTATCGAGCTTTGGGCCGGTGACTCCCGGGCCAGTTGGCTTTAGGGCACCAGATTTGGAAATATCCTTACAAGCTTACTTGCTCGAGTCATAAAGGCATGAAAATAAGTGTTTTATTCTCACATATTAAAATTGTACCCTTTGTCATTTTTCTAGACATTTAGTTTCCAAAACTAACCCCCAATTTAAAGTTTTCACCTACTTTTCATCCCACTGGTTTAGGCAATTCGCACAATAAATTTCTTGCACGGAGCCCCCCCTCATCTCAATGCTTTCGTATAAACTGTCTTAAGGTAGTTTATGGGTTAATTCAATAGAGGGTTATCATTCTTTTCCTATGTTATGTCCAAAATTTAGTCATTTTCCTAATATGTCAAGCATGAATAGTGTGCATAGATAATGTCAATTATTGCATCAACAAGTATCAGTTAGTCTAATTAACACCAGATCCAAAGTTTTTGCAGTTTAAACTAGTCCAATAATATCATCATACCTAACAAGGTTATCAAGCCCACACAAGCATGCATGAAAAGAATTTAAAACAAACTGAATAAAATGCAATTTTTTTTATAACACTCATCATGCACACATTATGCAGTAATGGAAATTAATGGAAAATAGATAATGATGAACACAAATAGAGATTTAAAATTATGTCACCATCCCCAAACTTAGTTAATACATTGTCCTCAATGTAAGATTAACAAAAGATTAAAGACATAATTTGAAGGACAAAATGAAAACGAAAAATCAAAATGGGGAAAACAGTATTCCCCTGATCAAAAGGGATGAGGTGGTGGGAAACTGGGTCCTGATGTGCCATCATCTGACGGTGGAGGGTGTCGTCCAAGGAGTTGCTGCATCATCCCATGCATCTCTCTCATCAGGGCGGACTGCTGTACCTGCTCGGCCTGGATGGCTCTCACGTGTTCCCATGTGTCATTTACCCGCAACTGGATGCCATCCACCGGGCCTACATACATGTTCAGCCGGCCATTTATGGTGTCAATCTCTTGTCGCATGATTGAGGCGTCGTCTCGAGCATCTCTAATGTAATTCAGTGCAAGGTGATTGTCTCTTTGTAAACCCTGCAACTCAGTCCTCATGGTGCCGAAATCCTGAAAGAAGCTATGGAAGTCTCAGCTGATTCTCGTGGTGGTGGAGAATACCTGTCTCAGAAACTGAGTATCCACGTCAGCCTGTGGTGCTGGAACCTATGGGTGGTCCTTATTTGTGAGGGTTGGGCCGTGTGCGGCCTGTTGTTGTCGTCGGCGCTCGTTTTTCAATTTCTATTGATGTTTAATTCTGGCTCGGTCCTGGGCCTCGAGTATGAGGCGTTTGATAAATGGACTTGGTTTCTCCGGTGACTCCCTTGGCCGAACTTGTATGCCGGCAGCTATACAAATTCCACTTATCAAGCTCAAGAAAATTAGTGAGGTGTGTCTGTCACCCCATGCGCCTGTAACTTGTATCTGATTGTAAATGTAAGTGGCTAAGTCTATCTTGTTGCCCCGAACTAAGTGATAGATGAATCCCACCTTCTGATTGAAAGTCGCCCTATGGTAGATGGGCTCGATGTTGTAGCAGATGAGCAACCATAGGATGGCTATAGAAGGAGTGAGGTCAATCTGATACCAATCAGCAGTAGGGAGAGGCCAAGCATTTTCACGCCCCAATAGAACTTCTGCAACCTCAACTCAGTTGAAATCATGCGGAACTGGGACAACATTAGTCCAGGTGAGCTGATATTAGTCATGTACTACCTCAGGGAAAAACATGATCCATTTACCCCGAACCCATGTTTGATGCAGATGGTCGGATCCAGGTGTGTCTATTTCAGCATTGAAGTTTGTATAGAGTTCCCGCACCAAATTTTCATAAACTGGGTGTGGTCTTTCGATCACTTTCTCCCAACCATAGTTATGGATTAAATAAACCAATTCAAAACTCGGGAAATCATCCAACTTAACTGGTCGTTCCGGGATGAGCGCCCACTCACAGACTATATTGGCGTAATGGGCAGCTTAGTCTGAAGATAGAAAACGCCGGACACCCCCTTCAGGTTCCCTACTCCGGGCTGTGCCGAATGTGGAACCAACCTTCTTCTTTCCTTTGGATGTTCGTTTTGGAGGCATCTTGCAAAGATATACAAATAAAAGTCATTAAACTGTCTGTTGAAAAACGATAGGGAAAATGAGATTAGCAAGACAAATATTTCACAAATCCCCCAAACTTCCTTCAACATGCATATAAGATACCTTGGTATGCACTTATAAAAATATGATATATAAGGTAGTGGAAATAAAATTCCAAGGTGAAAAACTGGAAATTGAGGCCGAAACAAGCACATTTGAAAAATTGGACCCATGACCGAGTGCGCATGTTCGGCCCCGGACATCATCGAAAAATATCGAAATTTCCCGAGCAATCTCAAGGCATATGAAAGTATTCCATGAGATCTACCATATATTCAAATTTCAAAGCAAATGAACTTCGTTTAGTATGCCATATAATGGTGTAAAGTAGGGGACGTAGGGTACCGTGACATGCCGTGTGCCTATGCGTTGCAAAAGGATTGTGATGTGATACATGGCCTTTTAAGTGGTCGTGAATGTGGTAACAAGAAAATGTCAAGAAACATGCTCAAGAACATCTAAGGAAGGCAAAATAACAATATACACACAAACGGAGCTCCAAACAACCAAATTAGGTCAAGTGACTCGTGATTAAGTGTGCGCTTTCGCCCCCAGACATCATCAAGAAAACTTGAATTTTTTCCGAGTAACCTCCAGGCATACGAAAGTATGTAGTGTGGAGGAGCACATATTCAAATTTCACGCTCATTGGATGTCATATAGGTACTTAACGCAGGGGACGAAGTGGGTGCGGTAAAGTGACGTGAGCCTAACACGTGTGCCTAAATGTGTGTGGTTGGTATGTGAGTGTTTCGAGCTCAATTTCTATGGCATTTGGTCACCACGTATATGGGAATGCATATATTTAAATTGTCTAATGCAGAATTGCGCAAAATGTATAACAAATGTCACGTAGGCAATTCATCGAACATGTAGCATGCAAGATTTATAAACCCTACACAATACCAAATTGATAATGTTCCACCAATCCACAACACATTCCAAGCTTAACATACACAAAACCAACGACTATCATTGCCCATCCTCCACAATCAATCTCAAACAGCCTTTTCTCATAACGAACCAAATGAGAGAAGAAGAATGCATAGAGGAGGAAAAAAAAAACCATACCTTGAATTTGCACGGGATGTGTGGAATGTTGACTGATGGTGTTAATGGGGTGGGGAGTCGAGTGAAATGCGGAGTGTTGATTTGTGTGGGTGTATGGTGTGTGAGGCAATTAGGGAAAAATGGGGGAGAGTGGCTACTAGCGGCCGCATAGTACAAAACTATGTGGTCGCATAGTATAAAAAATAGCCCCCTTTTGTGTTCAGTAGGTGTCTATGCGGTCTAATAATAATTTTTTTATCTAGAAATGCGTGAATCATACTCCCAAACACCCAAAATCATGTCAAACTCACCGACCATGTGTGTAATGCCTAGGAAATTAAGGGGATGACAATTCGATCCAATTAACATGCATGTACGACCGATGACCTAGAAAAATGCAAATGCAAAAATGAAATAATTCTAAAAATAATGTGAAAAGGAAGCTAATAGAAGGATACAGTGGGTTGCCTCTCACCCAGCGCTAGATTATAGTCGATAGCTCGACTTCACCATATTGGGTCATTCTGGCGGTCTAAGATGAACGATAGACTTTTCCTTTGAAAAATCGCCGCCCCAATAGTGCTTCAAACGCTGTCCATTGACCTTGAATGTCCTCTTACTGTCGTGAGTGATCTCAACTGCCCCATGTGGAAAAACCTGTGTAATAGTATACGGACTAGACCACCTCCATCGCAGCTTTCCTGGAAACAACTTAAAACTAGAGTTGTAGAGTATCACTTTCTGCCCACCGTAAATTCACGCATCTGAATGTACATATCATGCCATTTCTTGGTGCACTTTTTGTAAAGTCTTGAATTCTCGTAGGCTTCCATTCTGAGCTCGTCCAGCTCATTAAGTTGTAGTAGACATTTTTCACCCACAACCTTCAAATCCAAATTCAATTTCTTTATTGCCCAGTAAGTATGATGTTCTATCTCAAGAGGTAAGTGGCATGCCTTCCCGAAAAGCAGTCAATATGGTGACATTCCAATAGGGATCTTGAATGCAGTCCTATAGGCCCACAAGGCGTCGTCCAGTTTCTTAGACCAATCTTTTCGTGACGAGCTTACTGTGATTTCGAGTATTTGCTTCAATTGCCTATTAGACACTTCGACCTGTCCACTAGTTTGGGGATGATATGCAGTGGCTACACGATGTTTAATGCCATATTTAGTCAACAATTGTTCAAACTGGCGATTGCAGAAATGTTTGCCCCCGTCACTGATTATAGCCCTCGGTGTTCCAAAGCAGGTAAAAATATGTTTCTTTAGAAACTCAATCACCACCTTCCCATCATTGGTAGGTAATGTAACTGCCTCAAACCACTTCGATACGTAATCCACAGCACTAATATGTACTGATTAAAGAAGGATGGGAGAAAAGGCCCCATGAAGTCGATCCCCCAAACGTTAAATAGTTCCACCTCCAGGATACTAGTCAAAGGCATTTCGTTTCTCCTGGATATATTACTAGTGCGTTGACATCGATCATACCTCTTCACGAATCCAAAGGCATCCTAAAATAGTGTGGGCCAATAAAAACCTGATTGAAGGATCTTCGCCGCTGTTTTCGAAGCACCAAAATGCCCTGCATATGTAGATGAATGACAATGTTCTAATATCAAAGGCACTTCTTCCTCAGGTACGCAGCGACGAACAATTTAATCAGCCCCCCGCCTGTATAAAATGGGGTCCTCCCAAATCTAATACTTCAATTCAGCGAAAAATTTCTTCTTCTGGTGACTGAAGTAATCAGACGGCATGATAGATCTGGCTAAGTAGTTAACTATGTCCGCATACCAGGTTACCTCCTCTACACTAAAAATCTATTCATCTAGGAAGACTTTGTTGATTTCCACCATCTCTATCTGTTCTGTGGCCTCGAGTCGAGATAAGTGGTCTGCCACCACGTTTTCACTGCCCTTCTTATCCCTTATTTCCAAGTCAAACTCTTGAAGCAACAGTATCCAACGAATGAGACGGGGCTTTACATCCTTCTTTTCCATTAAGTACTTGATAGCAGCGTGATCTGTGTAAACGATGACCTTTGACCCTACAAGATATAACCAAAATTTATCAAAGGCGTAGACTACGTCAAGGACCTCTATTTTTGTAGTGGCATAATTGAATTGAGCGTCGTTCAAGGTCTTAGTTGCATAGTAAATCACGTGAAATATCTTATTTCTTCATTGTCCCAAGAGGGCCCCAACAGCAAAATCACTGGCGTCGCACATTAATTCAAGTGGCATATTCCAATCAGGTGTGATGATCACGGTGCTGAAATCAACTTCTCCTTCAAGGTGTTAAAAGTCAGCAGACACTCATCCGTGAACTCAAATGTGGATTCCTTCATCAACAAACAGCACAATGGTTTAGTAATCTTTGAGAAATCCGTGATGAACCTTCTGTAGAAACTGGCATGCTCGAGGAAACTACGAACACCTTTCACTGAGGTAGGTGGTGGTAATTTCTCGATCACCTGAATCTTTGCTCTGTCTACTTCAATACCCTTTGCTGAGATTCTGTGTCCTAGCACGATGCCTTCTTGTACCATAAAGTAGCATTTCTTCCAATTCAGTACCAAGTTAGTCTCTGTACACCGCTGTAGCACAAGACTCAAATGCTTAAGCACTCATCAAACGAAGACCCGAACATTGAGAAGTCGTCCACGAATACCTCGATGAATTTCTCAATCATGTCTGAAAAGATAGCCATCATGCAGAGCTGAAAAGTTGCAGGAGAGTTGCATAACCAAACGGCATCCTACGGTATGCAAAGATACCGTAAGGGCAAGTGAAAGTTGTCTTCTCCTGATCGTTAGGTGCTACTGGAATCTGATTATACCCGGAATACCCATCTAGAAAATAGTAATGCGAGTGCCCTGCTAGTCTCTCCAGCATCTGATCAATGAACGGTAGTGGAAAATGATCGTTTCGAGTAGCAGCATTTAGTTTGCGGTAATTGATGCAAACTCTCCATCCAATCACTATCCGTGTAGAAATCAACTCATTTTTCTCGTTTTCTATCACTGTGATACCCCCTTTCTTGGGAACAACTTGTACTGCACTGATCTATGCACTATCTGATATTGGATAGATGATGCCTACGTCGAGCAACTTCAATACCTCAGCCCTAACCACTTCCTTCATGTGTGGATTCAATCTCTGCTGACCATCAATGCTTGGTTTGAATTTTTCCTCCATGAGTATTTTATGCATACACAGCGATGGGCTGATCCCCTTGATATTTGTAATAGATCATCCAATAGCTGTTTTATTCTCCCTTAGCACCTGAAGTAGTTTCTCTTCCTCCACTTCACTGACAATACTTGAAATAATAATCGAAAGTGTAGAAGATTCCCCCAGGTAAGCATATCGAAGGTGTGGTGGCAATTGCTTGAGTTCCAATTTGGGAGGTTGCTGAATAGATGGTTTGTAGTCCTAGTTCCCAGCTCTTAGAAATGACGTTTGCACATGTATGGTGGATTAGTTTTCAAAAATCGTGCACATGTTTCAATCTCACTTGAATCAGTGTGAATGGATTGAGAATGTGTAATGCACGCCTCGTATGCATCGGAAGGATGATGTAGCCGAAATGTATCTTGAATTATTCTGTCAATTACATCGATATGGAAGTAGCTGTCGGACTCAATAGGAAATTTCATTGCCTTGAACACGTTGAAAAAGATTTGCTCTTCGCCAAGCCTCAATATAAGCTGCTCTTTCTAAACATCGACAATCGTTCTTCCAGTAACTAAGAAAGGTCGCCCCAATATGACTGGAACATCCTTATCTTCCTCCATGTCTAAGATGAGAAAATCGGCTAGAAATATGAACTTCTCCACTTTTACCAACACGTCTTCAATGATCCCTCTGGGATGTGTAAGGGATCGATATGCTAACTGTAATGTAACTATTGTGGCTTTAGCTTCTCCCAAGCCGAGTTTCCTGAAAACAAAAAGAGGCATTTAATTAATACTTGCACCTAAATCACACAACGCTTTATCAAAATGACAATTTCCAATAGTGCAAGGTACAATAAAACTCCCTGGATGCTTTAGTTTTGGAGGCAGCTTTCTCTGAATTTTGGCACTGCATTCCTCAGTTAGCATCACTGTTTCGATTTCTTCTATCATTCTCTTGTTGGAGAGGATATCCTTTAGGAATTTCGCATAACTTGGCATCTGAACAAGTGCCTCAGCAAATGGGATGTTGATGTGTAATTTCTTGAAAACTTCAAGAAACTTACTATATTGTTGATCCAATTTGTGCTTTTTCAACCTTTGCGGGAATGGAATAGGAGGCTAATGAGGGTTGATGGGATTGGTAGCTGTAGCCCGTGATGTATTGGAATTCTTCTTGACCACATCCCTTGTTGTTTGTTCAGTCTGTTCCACAATCTCGTCGTCTGCGGTTGGTGCTGATTCCCTGCTAGCTACCGATCTTTTTACATGTATCTTCGGTAGTTGTACTCTGCTTTTGGTTGTTATAGCCTTTACGTGCTCCTTAGGGTTGATTTCAGTGTTGCTGGGTAAATTTCCTGGTACTCTACCTGTCATGGAGATTGCCATCTGTCCCATTTATGTCTCCAAATTTTTTACTGCTGCACTTTGGTCTTGAAGAGTTGCATCTGTCTTTCGCATAAACTGGTTCCATATACTGATTGGTTGTTGCCATGAACTTCTCGAACATCTCTTCCAATGTTGGCTATTTATCCTGCTGCTGATATTGACCTTGTGGTCTGTTTTGATTCTGATTACTCCATGAGAAGTTTGGGTGTTTTCTCCAGCCCTAATTGAAGGTTTTCGAATGTGGGTTATTTTGTTGGTGTTGACCCCATTGCACAAAATATGCATGCTCGACCCCTTGTGCGAGAATTGGACAATTAACAGTGTTGTGGTCTGCTCCACATTCTTCACAGCTTGGCTTCTTGACTTGTTTTGCAGCGGCGGTCTGTGAAATGCTCTCAACCTTATGGAACAAAGAGTCCATCTTTGCAGACAATGCTGAGTAAGTATCTACTTCATAAACCCCCGGCGTTCTCTTCTAAACCACTTGATCTGTAGACCACATGGCTGAAGTTGCAGCCATTCTCTCAAATAGCTCCCATGCTCCATCAATTGTTCTTGTGGAGATAGACCCATCAGATGATGAATCCACCATGCTCTTGAAGGATGGAAGTAATCCAGTGTAGAAAAATTGAATCTGTGTCTTCTTGTCAAAGCCATGTTGCGGACACTTCCTTAACATATTTTTGAAACGATTCCATGCCTCTTCAAATGATTCGGACTCACATTGGTTGAATATAGAGATATCACGTCGCATTTTGGCTACCTTAGCTGGCGAGAAAAACTTGGTGCAGAATTTGTGGGCTAGCTCGTTCGAAGTGGTGATACTTACGACGGGAAGTGAATCCAACCATTCAAGTACCTTATCCCGCAAGGTGTGTAGAAACAATCGCAGTTTTAGAGCATCGTCCGAGATACCTTGGTACCTAAAGTGTTGGCACATATCCAGAAATCAGGATATGTGTGTATGTGGGTTCTCACTAGCCATTACGTGGTATTGATGTCAATTCTGAAATAGTTCAATCACATTTGTTTTCAGCTGAAAGTTCGGTTGCCCAAATGGAGGATACACAATGCTAGATTGACTTTGAACCACCAACGGTGCCATGATGTCCCCAACGATTGCCCAAGTCTTGATCAGGTGTTCCTTGCATACAAGCCCTGAGATAGCAAAATCAACACAAAATTAAATTGAAGTAAATAACAAAATAAACCTAGTAAGCTAACTACTACTAATCTAAATAAGTTCGAATTAGTGTTACAAAAGATGAAATTAAAAACTAATTTTCAATCCCAGGCAACGGCGCCAAAAACTTGTACACGAAATTATTTTGTTCCGATTTAAAATCTACCGCAAGTGTACGGTTCGTTAACAAGTAGTAAAATGGACTATGAGTCCAAGTATCGATCCCACAAGGATTGAATTAGTTCCAATTAATCTATTATGACCTTAACCGAAACACGAAAATCAAATTGAGGTTTTGTACTTTAACTAAAAAGATGTAAACTTTGATGCAAGCATGAATGAAAAATTATACTAAACACAAAATAACTAGGATGCACCTTAACTCAAATTTATGAATTTAATGAGTATACTAACGTACTAGGATCACGAATCCCCAAGCAATACCCGTTCAATTGTCAATTATGTAACTTTGACATACGGTTTCACAAAAGATGAATCAATATTCCTATTTTAATTTAGCAATCTCTCTCGAACAATGCCAAACCTATCCCAATATATGATTCGACTATATTTATATGACGAATACTAACATACCGAAATGCATTATAAATTCACGAATATCCAATGATTCACACGAGGTATAGAGGTATATTTCTATCCCCTATCGGATCCTATGATGATTTATACTATGTCGAACCTATTTTCCTTCTTTCGAATGCATAAAACGGGCAACCACAATTATATAATTATGTGCACAATAATCATATGAAAATAAAAACGTAATAAATCAATCAAATCCGGAACTTGTGTTCAAATACGTCAAAAATCCAAATCAACAATCAAACGTAGTATTACAAGGTTCATCGATCTCCTAGCAATAATAAACTAGCCTAACATGCTAAAAGGAAGAAAACATAAAAATATTTGAAGAAACGTCATCACACGAATCAATCTTCAATCCAATCTTCACTTGGCGCGATATTGTTCTCTTGTTCTATCCTTCGTTTCTCCTTCAATATCTCTCAAAAACATGTAAAAACGGTGTCCCTTACGTTTTGCTCTAGTTTTTGTATTTATAGGACCCTAAAAATATTATTTCCATAAGAGTTTCGAAGAAAAAAGGAAACTGCAATTTTACCCGGAATTGCTCTATGCAACCGCATAGAGCAACTCTATGCGGTCGCATAGAGTAAAAATATTTGGCCATTTAAGCTTTGGTATGCCTCTATGCGACCGCATAGAGGGTAGCACGCATAGTGCTACCAACTATGAGAAATATTCATTTTGGTCCTCCTACTTGAATAATTCACTTCTTGGCATCTTTTCTTCATTCTTTTCATTCAATCATCCCAATGTATCGTCAATTGACAATTGACTTAATCAATTTCTCGATTTGTTCATCGGGTCAACTTTTGGACAATTGCACATTGGTCCCTGAACTTTCACTTTG